AAGTTAGACGAAGACATCAAGAAAGTTTTTTGGAACTTCTTTACAGCTAAAGACGACAAGGTTTGAATATAGTTCTTCAACTTAACAGTTAATATTCTCACTGATTGAACATAAATTGATCATTCCCCCCTGAGTCCTGATAGGTATTGATTATGAATCGCTTTCACGTGGTGTATTAGATATTACATTAGCTATTAATTTTACCTACCATTGACCTTTAGCAACCCGGAGAAGACAGTGTTGATGGAGGAGAACAATTGGCAACAACTGTTAACGAGGCTCCGATCAGGGTCTCTAATATTTTCGAGAGATGCGACATAGGTATACATATTGTTACATTATAATTATACCATAGTGAAGCTCACTCATATCACTGTATGAGAATTTCGCTGTAACTCATGACCGACGATAAATTTGCCCTACCTTCTCTGATCGTCTGTATCAGTATAGCCTATCTTGGGCTTTAAAATGAATTGCTGCATTATGGTTAATCGTAGGCGATTCCCAGGTGCTATTCAGAGAGTGATAAAGAAGATGCCCCCGGTTCCCGTCACGAAACCTGGATCATTGACAGCCCCCGAGAGTGAACAGAGTGAGTTATAGCTATTTTAAAAGTCATCCGGATGGGTCACTAGGCGCTACCTGTGCTGAATATGCTAATATTTGTTTAGTCATTTTTTGTACTATCTACTGATCGTAGAAACAGTTTTGTGTCATCGTCAGAGCGGACTCCCAGTTTGAAATTTTATGGGTTTACAATACGATTCTTCAAGTAGGAACATCCTGCAATAAACTTCGTTTTCATACACTAATCCGCTGTGACGTTTCCAGGTGCTGTTCAGAGAATAGCTTTGGCCATCCGGAGCGAGCCCCGGGCCCCCGTCGCAAAACCCCCCGTTCAACCGGACACCACACCAGCAGCCGGGCCTGCGCCTCCAACCGGCAAGGTCCGAAAAGACCACATATCCAGACTTCAGAAAGAGTCCGAGAGTCGCCTGAGTGAGTTACAGCTATTTCTAAACATCATTTAGAATTATCGCCTGTAATATGGATGGGTCACCACTCACCAGGCGCAGGAAGAATTCATCTTTGGTCAATTAAAGTTGATACTTTCATCTTTGACCATTTTTTTGTACGATCTTTGTGACGAGTAAAAATTGGAAACCGCATTATTTAATCAGACTTTTGTGTGATAACTGACGCGTTCGCCATAATACAAAACTCCCTAACCTTAAGGCGTAAGGTTTCCCTCTGTGCAACGTCGAAAATAACTTAGTCACGCCTTTATCATTTCAGAGAGACGACATCTTCACCCCAAGGGCCTCCGAGATACTTCGGCGACAATGGTTGAGGAGGCTTTGAAGATCAATCCGGTGATAGGTAATAATTCAAGTGCAACATATCGTTTTTAAACTTTCGGACATTAATTTTTCTTTAAGTCGAAGATTGCATCGCCGTTTCCACACAAAGGTAGCTGGTTTGACGCACATCAAGTCTATTTTAAGCGATATAATACCCATTCACGGTCGAAATGGGGGTTAGTAGATATGCAATCGAAACCACTACAGTTTTAGGTCACTATAAGTCACGTTTCACTTGGTATGTGTATATAACTCAGTTCTAAAGTTAAAACTAACCCACTTCTGCAGGTTATCTCAGAAATCCATCTCTTTACTTTTAGCAAATTTCATGTCTGTTTGAACCTCAGTCTTTTATCAGGAGCCGTGGCCGAACAGGCGAGACAGATCCTCCAGGAGGATAGATGGGATGTGTTCGGCAAGAGTATTGCCCAGCTGTCGGCTGTCGCATATCAAGGTAACTTATTTATAGGTATTCGATCAAACAGTCCCGGAAAAAATTGGCTCACCGGCGCGGCCCAGCCAAAATATTTGCTACTCTTTTTTTGCAACAAAAATCCTTGATCACGTCCAAATACTAGGGTCTCCCCAACAAAATCTTGCACCGGTCGAAAGCCGCGAGATTTAACTACCTAGACAAAACAATCTGCCACAATCTGCTTTCCAATCCAATAAGTTTGCACAGGAAAAAAACTGAATTCGTTTTGTTGGTATGATGTGTGGTCAAAGCAACCTGTCTCCATATAATACTATCCGTACAACAACAAGAAATGTAGGATCATTGAATCTTTGGCGACTAATGTGGGGGGGCCGGGGGGGGGGGGGGGGGGGTAAACCCTATTTTGACTCATTTTGCCTCATTTTTCCCTTTTTTGGCTGCCCGAATGAGGTAAAATAAAGTAAATTTCGGCAAAAACAATTGTCTCTAAAAAGGCTCAGAAAACTAGATTCATTTACCTCACTTTACCTCATTTTACCTCATCCCAATTTTGGCTGCCCGAATGAGGTAAAATGAAATTGACCCCCCCCCCCCCCCACTAATGTTTAGAACTCTTTCAGACGAACTGGAGCTCATGGAGCACGCAGGAAAGATCCTACTCAAGATCGCGGCAGACGCGAAGACAGTAAGTAAGATTCAGTCTCCTCCTCATTACTCGAATTTGTTGGGTCAGTTATTTAATGAAAAATTTTTACCGTTAAATTGTGTGGCTGTGTTGTCTGTGACATCGTTTCCAAGTGGGGAACATGGTTTATTTTTAATTAATTTTATCATAAGAACAGGTCCAGCTTTATTATTAATTGTATATTATGCAGAGTCTGTGAAAACTGTTCATTTCAGGCTGGAACTGATTGAAAAGCCTCCTTCGGAGCTCTTCGGACGCAGCTTGTCCCTCGACGATTCTCCTAACCATCTTGTGGATTCTGGGGAGAGGACAAGGACAAGATTGCATTATTATTTTAATTATGTCAACCCGATTGAGATCCAGAGATAAGTTATGGCTTCCCATCTTAGACCACAACTCAGCTCTTTATCTGCATAAAAGAAACACCACCCGCCAGATTAAATTCACTTAAATTCCATCATTTGTATTAGGTCAATGAAACTGCATACATAACAAGCTTAGACATTTCCTCGAATACACCTGGAAAAAAATGGATGTATACTTTTGGAAGTACATAGAATCTCCTGGGAGACCCTATAAAAAATCTTCGCATTTTTCTATTGGCGTTTTTATAAAACCTGATAAATAGAGCTCCTGATCAACGATACTCATCGTTTTAGCATCCAATCCTTTCAGAATGGTAAGAATTTGAGTTTTAGAGTTGCTTTTAAAGGGTTCTAAAACTTAACTCACTTCAAATTTAAGCAAATATATGGCCTGATATGTGCTCAGTATTTTGTTACACGTGTATTTGTATTTGTAACACGTGTATTTTTAAGAATTGGTAATTTAACACTTGTAATTATTTTTGTAATACGTGCATGTATTGTTTTGACTAACACGTGTACTTTTCTAGAACGTGTTTTTTAAATGTCCTCCGCAAGTGACAAGCAGTCCACACGGCCAATGTTGCGTGAACTGCTGTCTGCTACGGTGATCTTATTCACACAAAAGGAATAAACTAAGAATAATGTTCATTTATTTATCATACTGTGCTATGTTTTCACGTATTTGATTTAATATCTTTATCTGCCTAAAAGAATTGTGTTATCATTAAGTCATCAAGCTTCGTAAACTCGACATTTTCAATAGCTGTGGGCTAAACAAGTTTTCGCCATATTTCAGTCACCGTTAATCTTGTTATCATTATATCTGGTGGTTTTTTAACCGAACCAATGCATCATATTCCAGTCCCGCCAAATTGTGACAAATACTGGCAAATTTTTAAAAATTTTCTAATTTGCCGCAGACGCGATTACTGAAACCTTATGAAAGCTTTCGGCGCGGCTGACATTGTCATGCTTTCAGGCGCGCGACGTTTCAGGCGCGCGACGTTTCAGGCGCGCTACGTTTCAATTTCACTCGTAGGTGGGCACACCAGTGTTACTCTATCTCCCAAAAACAACCTTCTCCTGGTCAGCCATGTCCCTCATCCTGCACTTGACCCCCGCAGAGGTCACAAGCCTTGTTTCATCTCCTTATATGGTAATCGCGTGTTGCTACACTTATTCTTGTTTGGTTAAAATTTTACGAAGGCACTTTTAATTTTAATTTGAGATTGAACATAATTTCATACCTGATTTCAACCTGGAGTGTAGAATTGGGTTTTATTCAAATTAAAATTATATTTTGATGGTAATTTTTATATTTCACTGTTAAAAAATGAATCGTGTTTAATAATACACTTACTGTGACCAAGTGGAAACCAACAATAGTTCAATCTTGCTACTGCAGATTTGACCAATCTACCAAAAAATAAGCAATTTTGCGGTGAAACAACTGCCAATTAGGACCGTAGTGTGGCAAGCCGTAAATAAATGGGAAAAGCGAGCAACCGATTTCATTCTCGGACAGGCTGCGCGCCGCCCAGTTACTCTAGTTGAAGAATGGGTTAGGGTTAGGATTGGGGTCAGAGTAAAGGAGCACTTACAAGTTACAGCTATTCTGAATTATCTTGTTCGTGTGTTCAATTTTCTTTAAATTGTTCTATGAACTCACGAGGTTTAGATTATTCATATGAAACAAAGTTAAGAGACAGATCTTTGCAAACCCGTAATGAAATTGTCCTACTAGTACAACAGCATAACGGGATTACATTACATTATACACAAAACAGTTAACCGACAGAATCAGGGCCAGTTATCTGGCGGGACGACAGGCTGAGCGCCGCCCATTAACAGGGCCATTATTAAATGTAATTTTTTTCAGTGTGTGTGCTTTATTATTGAGGTCGTTACGTAATCAGCCGAGGGGGGAGGGAGGTTTCCAAATGATTACGCTAGTGTAAATGTAATTTTGACACAATAGCTATGTGTAAAACTGATTACGGAGGAGGGGGGTGTGTTTACGTCGACTACAAAATTAACGACCTTCCATTACAATCTAAATTGAAATTATGATAATCTGTTTTCGCTCTCTTGAGTGGGTCGATCATATAATTGATATTTTTGGGGACGAAGTGAGAGTCTCTACTAGTTTTAAACTAATTACAACACTAAAAATCTATTACATTTATTGAGCTATGTAACGTAATTGTAACGTCTCACACATTACAAAGGCGTGGGCCGAAACGTCGATAACTATTTGTTTGAAAAACTGAGTGGAGACTCTCACTTTGTCCCCGAAAATATCAATTTGAATTACTAAATCGAAATTGAACAAATAAATAACGTAATTCAAAAAAAGATAAGTCCTCCTTTATAAACCTGTCTCGAGTTTAAAATTGTATGTATGGACAAAGTTAGTATAAATAAAAAGTTTAATATCACCTAACGTGGAACTATAAAATAATAAATAGAACAAAGACTTTTCCTCTCAGTCTATATTCTCGTAACGCATTATTTGACACGTTACGCGTGCTATGCCGTTTAGCGAGGGTCTTAACTTTAAACTGAAAATTGGTTCCACTTTTGGTTCGCCTGACTGCAGAGCTTGATAAATACATATATTCGTCGTTAAAATCGTCGTTTAAGTTCCCATGATCAATGATGTAAGATACAGGATTAGTATTATATTATTATTAACAAAACAGGAAGCCGCTCATTACAAAGGCATTATATTATTAACAAAAATCGTATATTACTTTTTGATTTCAAAATACAGGGGATTATCTATAAACGAAAAAGTTAAAGGCATTCTCGGATACGATTAAATTGTAAATGAAAATGTAACACATTAAATTTGAAAGGCTTCATGTGACAACCCAATTAAAATAATTCGCAACATTTTCAAAAATTTAAATAATCAAATAAATAAAAAACAAAAACATTACATTATTAAGTACAACTCAAATTAAAACTTGATTTATTTTGTAATCGTATAAATGATAAAGTTAGGAGTCGGCCCAATAAAATTTTTATTCGTTGGATTGAACCACCGTTATAATTATCTTTGTCAAAACATCCAGGAACCGGACAATGCCGCCAAGTACCCGGCTGCCTCAGATCTACTCTGTCTAGTTTTCTGAAAAATTTGGATTTGTTAAAGATCTAGGAGTGGGTGTTGTTAATATTACCTTGAACTTCGTGTTGGGCACAATTTTGATTGGATCGCCCGGATTGCAACACATTGTGTCATTCCAGCCATAATTAATAATCACTAACATGCCATTTGTTCGCAGGAGTCATTCTATCGACCAACAAAAGAATGACACCTGCTAAAGAAATTCGTAGCATGTCAAGAGAATAGCAGAACCTGCGGACAAGCCCCCAAACATACTTATTCGAGACTACAGTCCGGGTATAAGACACGTGTCCTGTTCCAGACTACAGTCCGGGTATAAGACACGTGTCTTGTTCCAGACCACAGTCCGGGTATAAGACACGTGTCCTGTTCCAGACTACAGTCCGGGTATAAGACACGTGTCTTGTTCCAGACCACAGTCCGGGTATAAGACACGTGTCTTGTTCCAGACCACAGTCCGGGTATAAGACACGTGTCCTGTTCCAGACCACAGTCCGGGTATAAGACACGTGTCATGTTCCAGACCACAGTCCGGGTATAAGACACGTGTCTTGTTCCAGACCACAGTCCGGGTATAAGACACGTGTCTTGTTCCAGACCACAGTCCGGGTATAAGACACGTGTCCTGTTCCAGACTACAGTCCGGGTATAAGACACGTGTCTTGTTCCAGACCACAGTCCGGGTATAAGACACGTGTCCTGTTCCAGACCACAGTCCGGGTATAAGACACGTGTCTTGTTCCAGACTACAGTCCGGGTATAAGACACGTGTCTTGTTCCAGACCACAGTCCGGGTATAAGACACGTGTCTTGTTCCAGACTACAGTCCGGGTATAAGACACGTGTCTTGTTCCAGACTACAGTCCGGGTATAAGACACGTGTCCTGTTCCAGACTACAGTCCGGGTATAAGACACGTGTCCTGTTCCAGACCACAGTCCGGGTATAAGACACGTGTCCTGTTCCAGACTACAGTCCGGGTATAAGACACGTGTCTTGTTCCAGACTACAGTCCGGGTATAAGACACGTGTCTTGTTCCAGACTACAGTCCGGGTATAAGACACGTGTCTTGTTCCAGACCACAGTCCGGGTATAAGACACGTGTCTTGTTCCAGACTACAGTCCGGGTATAAGACACGTGTCCTGTTCCAGACTACAGTCCGGGTATAAGACACGTGTCCTGTTCCAGACCACAGTCCAGGTATAAGACACGTGTCCTGTTCCAGACCACAGTCCGGGTATAAGACACGTGTCTTGTTCCAGACTACAGTCCGGGTATAAGACACGTGTCCTGTTCCAGACTACAGTCCGGGTATAAGACACGTGTCCTGTTCCAGACTACAGTCCGGGTATAAGACACGTGTCTTGTTCCAGACCACAGTCCGGGTAATTTTGTTTACGTAATATGTAAACGGTCCCTAGGGGTGTGTTTGGAAGAATCTGATAGATTTCTTAACCTGATTCCCCTGTAGCGGCTAATACATCTGTTGTCTCTGCCCCCGCAGAGGTTTCAAGAGTTTCTTCTTCTACATCTGCAGCGTCTTCTTTCACAGAAGCCACCTCATTGTCAGCTTCTAGTCCATCTAACTGTAGGATATTGAAACTAGCAGAGTTGTATATAAAGAAAGCAGATCTAGTATCAATTATCATATCAGCTTCATTTAGCTAGTAGCATTTTAACAGAGCTATGAGCATTGTAACAGAGCTAGGAGCATTGTAACAGTGCTAGGAGCATTGTAACAGTGCTAGGAGCATTGTAACAGTGCTAGGAGCATTGTAACAGTGCTAGGAGCATTGTAACAGTGCTAGGAGCATTGTAACAGTTCTAGGAGCATTGTAACAGTGCTAGGAGCATTGTAACAGAGCTATGAGCATTGTAACAGTGCTAGGAGCATTGTAACAGAGCTAGGAGCATTGTAACAGTGCTAGGAGGATTGTAACAGTGCTAGGAGTATTGTAACAGTGCTAGGAGCATTGTAACAGTGCTAGGAGCATTGTAACAGTGCTAGGAGCATTGTAACAGAGCTAGGAGCATTGTAACAGTGCTAGGAGCATTGTAACAGTGCTAGGAGCATTGTAACAGTGCTAGGAGCATTGTAACAGTACTAGGAGCATTGTAACAGAGCTAGGAGCATTGTAACAGTGCTAGGAGTATTGTAACAGTGCTAGGAGCATTGTAACAGTGCTAGGAGCATTGTAACAGTGCTAGGAGTAATTTTGGATTATACTCACTGGGTCCATTGTGTCTCCCGCTTCTTCCAGCTCTTCTAGGAAACTCTTTTCTGATGCTGGAAGGAAAATCCGATATGTGACCAAATCGTAGTTAATCACAATAAAGTTTTAAAAGGGTGGTTGAGATAAAAGGTTGTCAGTGGTGGTGTGGTGTATTCGTACCGTTAAGGTTAGATGTGCTGAGTGGTGGCGGGGTGGGGGTGTATTCTCTACTCCAATCATCTCTGTCATGTCTCCATTGCCTAGCTCTCTCGTAAACTGCCTCTAAGTCGTAATCTGCTCCTCTGAAGGTATCCACCAAACCTCTAGTGGAAACTTGTTTCGCTTTTATTTCAACCAGTAGCTTCTTTATCTCATCTATCTCTTTTGCCTGTTTGATAGACCTTTTAGGGGGGGGGGGGGGTAGATTTAATTTCAGCTCAGATATATCATTATGATGATGATGATGATGAAAGATGAATATCAATCCTCGGTTGTGACTGTGAGGAAACTTCAAGCTTCTTCCGGGATAAATTATTAAAAACTTACCAGAAGATCTAGCTGTTCCTCTTCTCTATCTTCTATTTCCTGCGATGATGAGGAAGTCATTGTCGGCCCTTTCCCTCTTGTTAAACTTAATCGCACAATATCAATCGAGTCAAAGATCATTGAACAATCGAATAAAAAGTTTTATGCGTAAGCGTTCTTCAAGTTTTGGACATCGGTAAAAACGAGAACAGAAATGATATAATATATTACACTAGGTAACTAGTTAATTATTTATATTATATAAACAGAAGCTTTTGCTGTCATGAACGAAATCATTAAAATAAAATGCTAAAATATACACGTCAATATCATGTACAAATTTGTTTGTCTACACTTGTAAGACGCTAGGTCACTAGGTCACTAGGTCACTAGGTCATTAGGTCACTAGGTCACTAGGTCACTAGGTCACTAGGTCACTAGGTCACTAGGTCACTAGGTCACTAGGTCACTAGGTCACTAGGTCACTAGGTCACTAGTATTATCGAATACAAAGTTAGTCAGCAAATTAAACAGGTGAACTAATTACTATTGTTTATCTTATACAGTGGTAACCAGTATACTGTGGTTAGCAACATTAACCAGTACAATGAGTCGCCAGATGCACACACGTATAATATTTCATATACAGGGGGCACCACTATATAATATACCTTGTCGGCGATTGCGTCAAACACCTGAAACAATTTAAGTCGTGGTTTCGAAAATCAATTAGAAATTGTACTTATCAAGGTTCTTTTGCGATAGTGTAAACGCGATAGCTAGCGCCATCCAGCGACAACTAGCGCTGGATGGCGCTAATTGTCGCTGGATGGCGCTAGCTATCGCGTTTACACTATCACAAAAGAATCCTTATTAATTAAATTTACCTATTAATAAAGTGATTCATTGTAACAATTTTTCTTAACCTTACTTTGTGTTTTCCTCTGAAAGCCTTCATTTCTCACAATTGATCGCCAATATCCACTATAGCTTCCAATTCCGCCTTGAATCTAAGCCTACCAATCGATTTACCGTAAATACAATATAAGGAAAATACTATAGCAGTATGTACTATAGCAGTATGTACTATAGCAGTATGTACTATAGCAGTATGTACTATAGCAGTATGTACTATAGCAGTATGTACTATAGCAGTATGTGCTACAGCAGTATGTGCTACAGCAGTATGTACTATAGCAGTATGTACTATAGCAGTATGTACTATAGCAGTATGTACTATAGCAGTATGTGCTACAGCAGTATGTACTATAGCAGTATGTGCTACAGCAGTATGTACTATAGCAGTATGTACTATAGCAGTATGTACTATAGTAATATGCACTATAGTAGTATGTACTAGTAATACTGATAAGTTCTCAATGCTCCGATGCTTGGTGCTCCAATATGAAAAGAGTGCTCAGCAACATAACTCTACGTAGTGACGTCTAGTTATTGAGGCTAACAGTCACCCGATATTGACATGACATTTTGTTCAGAATTGTTTTACTTTTATTATGGTGCCACTATAGTTACTTATAATAAACTCATAGCACAGGCGATATAACGGACAACAACCAAAGTAGTATACTCATAGCACAGGCGGTATAACGGACAACAACCAAAGTAGTATACTCATAGCACAGGCAGTATAACGGACAACAACCAAAATAGTATACTAATAGCACAGGCGGTATAACGGACAACAACCAAAGTAGTATACTAATAGCACAGGCAGTATAACGGACAACAACCAAAATAGTATACTAATAGCACAGGCGGTATAACGGACAACAACCAAAGTAGTATACTCATAGCACAGGCGGTATAACGGACAACAACCAAAATAGTATACTCATAGCACAGGCGGTATAACGGACAACAACCAAAGTAGTATACTCATAGCACAGGCGGTATAACGGACAACAACAAAAGTAGTATACTCATAGCACAGGCGGTATAACGGACAACAACCAAAATAGTATACTCATAGCACAGGCGGTATAACGGACAACAACCAAAGTAGTATACTCATAGCACAGGCGGTATAACGGACAACAACCAAAGTAGTATACTCATAGCACAGGCGGTATAACGGACAACAACAAAAGTAGTATACTCATAGCACAGGCGGTATAACGGACAACAACCAAAATAGTATACTCATAGCACAGGCGGTATAACGGACAACAACCAAAGTAGTATACTCATAGCACAGGCGGTATAACAGGCAACAACCAAAATAGTATACTCATAGCACAGGCGGTATAACGGACAACAACCAAAGTAGTATACTCATAGCACAGGCGGTATAACGGACAACAACAAAAGTAGTATACTCATAGCACAGGCGGTATAACGGACAACAACCAAAATAGTATACTCATAGCACAGGCGGTATAACGGACAACAACCAAAGTAGTATACTCATAGCACAGGCGGTATAACGGACAACAACCAAAGTAGTATACTCATAGCACAGGCGGTATAACGGACAACAACAAAAGTAGTATACTCATAGCACAGGCGGTATAACGGACAACAACCAAAGTAGTATACTCATAGCACAGGCGGTATAACAGGCAACAACCAAAATAGTATACTCATAGCACAGGCGGTATAACGGACAACAACCAAAGTAGTATACTCATAGCACAGGCGGTATAACGGACAACAACCAAAGTAGTATACTCATAGCACAGGCGGTATAACGGACAACAACCAAAGTAGTATACTCATAGCACAGGCGGTATAACGGACAACAACAAAAGTAGTATACTCATAGCACAGGCGGTATAACGGACAACAACCAAAGTAGTATACTCATAGCACAGGCGGTATAACGGGCAACAACCAAAGTAGTATACTCATAGCACAGGCGGTATAACGGACAACAACCAAAGTAGTATACTCATAGCACAGGCGGTATAACGGACAACAACCAAAGTAGTATACTCATAGCACAGGCGGTATAACAGGCAACAACCAAAATAGTATACTCATAGCACAGGCGGTATAACGGACAACAACCAAAGTAGTATACTCATAGCACAGGCGGTATAACGGACAACAACCAAAGTAGTATACTCATAGCACAGGCGGTATAACGGACAACAACCAAAGTAGTATACTCATAGCACAGGCGGTATAACGGACAACAACCAAAGTAGTATACTCATAGCACAGGCGGTATAACAGGCAACAACCAAAGTAGTATACTCATAGCACAGGTGGTATAACGGACAACAACCAAAATAGTATACTCATAGCACAGGCGGTATAACAGGCAACAACCAAAATAGTATACTCATAGCACAGGCGGTATAACAGGCAACAACCAAAATAGTATACTCATAGCACAGGTGGTATAACGGACAACAACCAAAATAGTATACTCATAGCACAGGCGGTATAACGGACAACAACGCAAGCCTCGTCTCAACAGAGATGAATTATAAGTAGGTGCACACACAATAGGAGCAAGTGATTATCATCACACTAAGGAGCCTATACTATAGCTGATGGTTAGTGGTTAGGTATGACTAATAAGGAGCCTATACTATAGCTGGTATTAACCAGTTATTTACCATATTAAACTTTTAACCATTCCCTTTGTGGTTTTTGGGAACTCTGCCATTCAGGTTTGAGCCTTGAAATGATTTTTCAGTTTTAACTAACTACAGTGCTAACTATGCAGGTCAAGGTAAATTTCTTTGAAATAATTAATGGCTGTTTGCCAAGTAATCCCATTAAAGCTTACTTTACCTTGCTCATTAAGTTGTGGTAAATATTCCACTTTCCGCTGACCTAGCCATGATGTAATACAAGCAAAATGCTCTAACCCGAGATACGAATAGAGCTGACACTCACACAAACATACAAAAGGACCCTACAGGGCGACCAGCTGCTCCAAACTAACCAGCTGCTCTCTACAGGGCCACCGGCCAATCACAGTACCTTATCCTTGTCACGTGACTGCAGTTAAAGAGCTAGTGCTCTTTCAGCCTCATGTCACGTGATGAAAATACCAACTTGTGATTGGTTGGTGTCCCTAGGACAAATTGCATTGGTGTGGCTTAAAAGCTGGTCAATATTCCATATAAGTACAAATCACCCAGCACTTTGGTGGAGGGGGGGGGGGGGTGAAATCCTTATTGGGCGATTAAACTACAGAAGACAACCTTCATTTCTGATTATGCTCACTTAAATAATTATTCATTAGTCACAGCCATTAATTATTTAGTTTACTTGTGCTACTTATTATAGTTTGACTGATTATATTCTTGGCCAAAACCTGCTCCTTTTGGCACAAACCCCGACTGGTTAGTAGCTTCAAACTAGCAAAATCAACACACACAGCCACTGTTTGGATCATCTTACGTTATGTTTGTCAGAGGTGTAAGGAACTAGTCTGATGGACTGACCGGTGTCAATTACGGGCTTCTCAGTCCCACCCAACATGTTGTGTGTTCCAGCTACTCCTTCCACAGATATCCTCCTGTTCTCCTTACGTAAGGAGCTCATGAAGTAAAAGAGTAATACATTGTTCAATAATTTGTCTAGTTGGTGTCAGCGATCACCAGAACGTGTAGAAAATATAACGAAAGCCGCAAAATCAGGCAGAAAAAGCTCATTATAAATGTTAAAAATCCAAGATGTTAGTTCAGAAGAGGCAAATTATCAGGCTTTAAGCTGGTTAAAATCTCAATGGAGACGTAAGCAATAAAATGTATTGTCATGGTTACACCAACATAATAGCAACTAAGAGTGCACCATATTATTTATACATTTACTTTTATCTCTAGCTTTTAGTTAGTTTCACGAAGTCTTACCAATTCATATTAAGTCATACTCTAGTAGCAGAACATACTGTATATACTGTATAACATTAACACTCTTCAAATAACGGAAAAAGGGCGGTTCACTGTCAACACTTAATCAAACTAAAATATTGCATCCTACCATCTGTCCAAACTAGATACACGCACGGTTACAAATGCGAGTCCCATGACGAGATAAGAAAAGTAAGTACAAAATACAGCACACAAAGGAAGAGGTTAATAAGTTGCAATATGAAGCCCTCCGTCCACAGCCAAAAAAGCACTGAAGTGAAATATGTAGCATAATTATTCTGATTATGTGAACAATACGTATAACCATGTATGTTGACATTTAACAATGATGATTATATAAATTGGACATTTGTCTCATCTTACCTTGTCAGTAAAAGGATTTTTTGTGGATTTATCGAGAAAAAAAATTAAAATACGTTCCAAAGCGACATAATGTGGTCTCAGGTTTAATAAAAATACATTACGTCGCATAAAGTCACAAGAAGCCACCAGACAGCCAACATTGGACGTTGGAACTGCTATTTTTGTACATTTTCGGTCTTCCAGTGCACTGCATGACTCGTTCGGAGATCAAGTTATCTGACACCTGGTGTGTCACGTGGGACCTACTTCACATCTACATTACCAAACTGGAACTTAACCCGGGGAGAGTAATATTGACACTAAGTTACAGGTATCAGTTGTCAGGTAGAGGAGGAATTAGATTATCCCCCTGTCACTAATACACCTGCTATAATAGTTGTTTAACTAGATGAAGAAACAGAATTAAAGCAAGTTAGTCGAAGAAGTAGTTGACAGGGGTGGGTGGGTGTTCACATGGTTGGGGGGCACATGATTAAAGTGGTTGAGTCTGGTAAGATAATATCGTTTAAATATGATCATGGACAAACCTAATTTCACAGCTCGTTCAAAACGACTAATAACAGCCAATAAATTCAATTAAATTATTGATCGCATGTACATAGTATAACGTACAAATGATATATTTTCTTAAATCACCAACTACCATAATAGCTGTTATATCCTAAACGTTAATTAGTTAATTCCTTGACTGGGGATCACAATCAAAGTGGCTACCTTATCGGTCCTAATTTGGCCAAATTAAGATAGCGCCAGACAAACTTCTCCACCAAATTAGGGCTGGACAGTGGAAATGGGCCCATGCTTGTACAGGCGTTGCATATGCACACGATATCTGTGTTTTGGTGACCCACAAGTCATTTGATTACATACATTTTAAGTATCTTGCATAGTAAACTAGCTTGCAAATCCACACTTTCTCTCAAGGTATATTTTGTAGTTTATTCCATTGTGTAATTTGTATGTAATTGATTGATTTAAAAGATTTCGATTTAAAAAATCAAACAACAGGGCAGCTAACGATTCCTTAACGCCAAAGACATAATATCTAACGTGAGAGTGACGAGCATGTGACGAAAATGTGACGAGCATGCGACGAACATATTGTGACCACTGACGGATGATGAACCAATCGTTTTACAGTATATTAGATAGTAAGTACCCTTAAGGGGGCATACCCCAAAACAGTGGTTTGTGCCGTCCAGACCAAATGACCTCATAGGCAGTTCAGTGACCTTCTAGCGCACCGTTGCAGATAAAAAATCACATTTTCTCCCATAACTTCAAAGGGAAGCATTTTAGGGTGTTTTGTTGTTCATAACTCATATATAAATGTGCTAGTTGCGGTTATTTTGCACCCTTCAAAAAGTCACTAGCACATTCCTATCAAAATTTTAGAAAAATCAGTAAATATTAAAAACGAAAAATGTGCCTAAATTTGTTGTTGGCTTTGAGGTCCAATAGATCAGAAGGTGAATGAGTGAAAACATTTTTGAGGGCATCAAAAACTGCGCCAGAATTCAGAGAACAATTTGATGTCAAGCATCAAATAATCCGATCTTCCCTGACTGACTTTTTGTTAAAATAAGCCTGAAAAGGACAATTTTAGCTTTTTGACTTTAAAAATTCATAAAACACCAGCTGTTTTAGATACGATATCAAGATTTTACACACACCTTGACATAGATGTGAATAAACGGCGAGCAAAATTTCAACCCGATACCGCAAGAAATGATTAACTTATAGCGTCTCAACCACAAAATAATTTTTTCCGAAAATTGCACTCTTAACCAGGCAATGCTCGATTACAAAAATAGGTATTCTCAAAATAATTTTTTGGTGTGGAAACGGTGCGCTAGAAGGTCACTGAACTGCCTATGAGGTCATTTGGTCTGGACAAATTTGGGGTATGCCCCCTTAATAACTATGAAGAGCTATGAGGGACCCCAATGAAACCAATATCACCAGGATTTTCAATCGATAACTAAACATCAAATTTGTGAGATCAGAGCTAGCTAACAAACCGGACAACGCTTACTAATACTATATACCCGCCTTGTATACACTGTATAGATGCTGTATATCACAGTCCACTTGTGTTCTTCTTCTTCTGACTTACTGGCTGCTCTCAGGAGGAAACATTACCCAGTCCTGGCTATCAGCTGTAGTTAGTGCAGGTAATGCAGCAGCTAATGTGGCAGGTTAATTCCAGCCATAATTGACTTTATTATAATTTAGATGTTAATTATAATTTGCATTTTAATTATAATTAACATGTTAATTATAATTTGCATTTTAATTATAATTTACATGTTAAATATAATTTACATGTTAATTATTTGTAAACTTGCTGACAAGGGGTACACTTTCGCTTCTACTACTAGATAAGAGATGCTGAAAAGAAAGAAGAATCTATAATTCCCTCATAGCTTAACTATTTGACTAAAAGAACCAAAACAAGACATAAGGGAATACCATGGTATTTGACACCACATGGAGCGTAACATTAAAACATAGTAGTAGTAGTAGTACACTAAGACAGTTACGACAAACACTAGGACAGTAAGACTACAAGTTCAAGCAAAAGTTCTGTTTTTTCAAATGCTACTGATTGGCAGATCGTATATGATAAAACATGAAGTAATACCAGAAGCTTTTCAAGGAGGAGATCTTTTCAAGAACAAGTAAGTACACTAAAGGAAAGTGCTCAGCCTCCAGCTCTCCTTTAAAACTGTATACCAAATATGGGCATTCAGTTTTTGGGTAAAAACACAATTCGGTGTGGTGCGCTGATAGTAATAAAGTAGCTCATAAATTGATTCGGAACCAGCACCAAATACCCTCAGGACCATTTCGACTTTTTTCTCGAGATTTTTTATTCGGGCGAGCAATTTAGTGGGAGCGAATCAAGTTTGCTGAAATTGTAAAAGATGATGATAAAAATGCTAAGTCTTTATGATAGTAGAGGCTCTTACGGGCAAAAAGACGTGTTTTCTGCTACGAGTTTAGAGACCTAACCGCTAATTGGACACAATAGTATGATGTCTAAGGATCGATAATATGTTAAGAAGTATAAATTTGGCCTTATTAGTCACGTGCTATACCAATGCGCGTTTTAAACTTTGACAGTCTATTACTCTAAGGCAAATAAAGTAATTATATCCATATTTTGTCAGCAATAAGATCACATTATTTTCTATTTAGTGTGAAAATATGAGCTAGAACGGACATAATCTCGCTGAGTTATAGCTGTTTGAAATTTATGATGAACGCACGGGTGCCAATTGATAACAACTAAATTGTAAATGCTTTTGCGCGTAGTGCGCGTCGAAAATTTGGCAAAAACGCTTGCGGAGTGACAATATTCAAACTTCGATTAAGTATATGAAGTGGGTACTTCTCGGAAAGGAAAAATTTAGGCAAACACGATGTGACTATTTTTGGGTTGATTTAATACAACTGCAAAAAATTATTCAAACTTAAAGCAAAAAAGTCAAAATTTTTACCACTTTTTTGGATTTTTACCTCAGAACAAATAGAGGGATTTGTTTTATTTTTATACAATCTTGTGCGGCTGTCTTTTAGCTATCTTTATGCAAGTTTTGCCGACATGCCAACAAAATTAACTTGCTCAAAATATCAAAAAACATGGTTTTTTGGCCCAAAAATCGGT